ACGCTTATGGTTTTTATAAAGAAATTTGTAAAAGTCTGTTGATCGGTAGTTCTAGCATTAAATACGTCTATATATTTATATTGGATTCGTACACACTTTACCAAAATTTAACTACCAGACGAGCGAAGCTACAGGAACATACATACGAGTTAGTGTTAACATATGGATGAAGCTGGATGACTACCTTTTCAGCATTTATGTGTGAACGGGCATTACTTTCGGGATAATCCTCGTATATCGTTTACTCCATTCGGTTAAGATGCAATTGTGAATGAGCAAACTGTTGATTGTTCGTAAAATCCTCGGATCGCATTATGGTTCAAGACATCACGTGAACCATCCTTATATGAAGTTGCATTTCCACTTTTATTTCAACTTTATATATAATAATACGAAAATACCTTGTATATAACATGACAATGTAAAAGTATTACAAGGTTGAAATAAAAATTTAATTTAGAATTTGGAAAGCTGAGAAGCAAAAGCACTTCGGAATCTTTCAGTTTTTTTTTAATTCAATCATTCGATGAAGGAATAGTTGTACGATTAATTATAAAGTTAAGAAATTATCAGAATCAATTTTCTTGAAGTCTCAGACGAACAAATTTTATGTACAGTTTTTTAGTCATTTTTGTTGGCATTATTTTCATTTCGACTGTTCGTTAAATCTATTCAGTGGATAGGAAATGATTATTACATATTGAAAGTTTGAATGACTTCACAAAAAGTGTAAATTGGAAAGAAGTCAGATTGTAAAAGCGTATTTTTGTAATTGTTCAATAACTGTTCTACACGGGAAATCTAATTATTATGAAGTAAAATTATACAATTGATAAATTCGTGATAAGTAGTGACAGCATATAATGAAAATCGATAAAGTTTATCAGTGTGTAGGATTCCCGATTAAACTTTCTATCTGATAAGCGTTTATTTTCTTCTTGGAAGATTGCTGATTGCGGTGGAAACGTTTATTTTTACTTCGTTTTGTAAAATGGCAGCTTAGAGATTTAGTATCATACATGATAGAATGTTTACATTTCTTGATTAAAGAGATTCTAATTTTTAATAGGAGTATGTGGGACTAAAGCAGAAAGTATCGTCACTATTTTGTATTCACGACTTTCGCAGCGATTGCAACGGCACCATGACGAAGAATGGAGTCTGTTAAATGCAAAATCAATTTCAGTGGAGTTTGATGCCATTCTTTCTTCGCAACTTTAAATGATTTTGCCTTTGAAAAGTTTGAGCGAATTTAAATGCAGGGATTGATCTGACCAGTTTAAAACTTCTACGGTTCTGCGAAACAATGAAAGTTTAACCGTTCTTAAAACATATTTCGAATCGTTGTTACGATAACATGTTTAATTAAATACAAAAACAATTGTTTACCCTTTTTCTTTATATCACAATGAAGTTTCACAAGAAACGTTTTTGCATATGAAACTGTTTACAATTCTCTTGAGTGTAACAAGTTGATTCATTGAACCAGCAAAGTCTTTCGAATCGTAAAGTTCCCTTCACCTTAAACATATAAGTAACATTGACTTCTTATTTGCACACTCAATTCTCAGCTGTGGTCTATGTAGCCGTGTTCTTTGCACCTGCTGTAGAATATCATCTCCTGATAAAGTTAATCCTTATTCACGGATTACATCAATTTATGTCAGTCACGATTAAATCGGAGCAGCAATGTCTCATGGAAACTTTTGTCAGTTCCTGATAATTCATTTCCGTATCATTCGAAGAATAATATTCAAGTGAAGAATCTATTTTTTTCAAGAACTTCTACATACCCTATATTACTTTCGCAAGATGATTAAAGTTCAGTTTTTATCTAAGAAGCTATCTAGCTACCGATCGTTTTAAATAATTTTAATCGAATCCCAAAATTACCTGCGTTCGACACAAGGAATGAGAATTTGTGTTAAGCACATTCTCGTTCAAGATTGTAAGTTTAAAATATTAAAAAAGTAATTTGTAAGGCCCGATACAAGAATTCACTTTCCTGAGCGAAAATGAATTGTAATTAGTTGATAATTACCGCGACGCGGTCTGATTCGGATTATACGAGTCGTGCTTTCGAGCGCTACGATCTGCGAATTAACGTGAATGTAAAATTGTCAGAGCAAAAGAGATACAGCATCGTCTCGTTAGTGTCGCGTTTTGAGGACTGTAATGCCGGGTCGTTTCTTTATCTCTTCTGTGCTTAGTAGCGAACATGCTTTTGGAAAGAAAAAATGTATTCCTATTGTAATACTTTATTTTATATAAGAATATTATTGTAACATTTTGTTTTGTATGATAATAGTACTTTCATACTTTATTTTTACTGTAGAAATATATTTATACTTTTTCTTGCGCATGCTTAGTTCACAAGTCAAACTAAATGGAACACTATAACCACCCTCCGGAAGGTCTCACGCGAGCCCTTATGCGTGACTGGCTAATCAGTGTGTAATATAACTTGTCTCACTCTGTCGTTTGTTAATTCATGTTTTATTTCTCGCACGCAAATCAAGCTATACGGAATACTGTTCTGCCCTCCAGAAGGTCTTGCGTAGACAACGAAACATAGTCATGCGAACAGAGTGAGAGGAGCCATCTTGTCGTGTTCATGTTGAATTTGCTTGTTTGCCTGGTATTGTTACGCTTTATTATTAGCTGCGCGACCTAATGGGGGGAAACTCGAAATCTTTCGATCTATTTCTCAACGTAGAAATATTCTGTTTGCCTATTGTGGGGGTAATTTTGTACCATGTTATATTATACGTCATGTAACAATTTCCGTGAGAACTTGTCTTTAAACGAATCAATGCATGTGCTGTATTGTCTCAGTCCGCGAAGCGATATATTGATCCATTAGTGAGCATTGATTAGAATGTTCTGAGAAATGTACCTGAGAAGACAAACACACTTATTTTTCTGCGAACTATATCACGTTTACGAGCACGTTCATCGAGGCTATAAATCATTTTTCTCGCAACTGACACTGACACTAGAGTACGTTATCTATAAGTAATTTAATAGTGTATTATTCTTTTTCCTCGATGTATGATTTAATCTTGTTCTGAAAAAAAGTTCTTCAAACCTTTCATAAAATTAATGAAGCGTTGACTAAAATTCCATGCAATTTCACTTTTACTCTATGTAAGCACTATAACAATTAGAGTAAGTTCAATTTCCTTCTTAATATTAATTTACTACAAACACTATAAATCCTTTTTTTAAATGAAACTTTCACTAACGCATCTGTGAGGTTTTTCTAAATAAAACAAGAGCAAACATGAGATACTTTAAGTCACAATGTACTGGAAGAAAATAGACTTTTGTAATTTATTAAAAAATATGTCGCGTTTGATCTCCTTTCAATCAGAGAAACCTTACAATTCAATTGATGAAAGTTTGAATTAGTAAAACTGAAAAATAGAAAAGTTTAACATTGCATTAACACGTTCGCTACCGGCGTCACATATTTGTGACGGCCGTAATCCTAGATTTTACAGAATGAAAATGAAATTAATCCTATGGATATTGTTATTAGAAATTATAAACTACGACAATATGTTTAGGAACTCAATTGCTCGTTTCAGTTTCATTTTTCTAATATTTGGTTTAGATTTATTGGATTGAAGAAAATATTCTAATTGAGGAGATCGTCACCGAAATGAACGCTGGCAGCGAGCGTGTTAATATCCCCTCATTCATCTGTTTCGATCGTTCCGAAGGTAGTATCCGGACTTCGAGTCAACACCGATTTTCAACCATCGATTTTCGGGTGCTCTTCTTTGTCATTAAGTATCACTGTGTGTAGTCTTCTTGGTAGCCATAAATTAATGTACAATTTCAATTAATATTTCACCAGTTTAACCTTTGCACTCGAGAGACGACTCCTAGTCGCCATTTGATTGAACACAGTAAAATTATAAAATTGAAAATTTAATATTAACACCAAATTTCCTGACATTTACTGTACAGTTTGTTCTATTGTTCTTAAAAAAATTGTTATCCGTTCATTTAGATCTTAGAAATTAGAGGTTTAAGATTAGACAATTAGGAAACATATTTGCATAACTGCGTTAATAAAAATCGACGAAAGTTTATAATATTCAATATGAGTCAAATTGACTCCGCAAATTTATTGTTAAATGTTTTGTAATGTATCAGTACGTGAAACATAAAAATAAAATAGTTCTGTTTCTTAATTCATGCAAAATGTTTCTTTACGTTAGTTGTAAACAATGCCATCGATATTTCATCAGGAAATAACGAATATTTATAATATCAAATATTACCAAGTGCAAAGGATAAACAAATGAAATTGCTACGAGCAGCAAGTTATGTTTACGCCATTTATCAAAGAAAATAAAACTATTTCACAGAAACATACTTCATATTTAACCCCTTGCACTCGAAAACTTTCTACTAGTAATATTCAACGTTTTCCGGTAAGATATAGACGACGTGAATGTCGTATATGAGAAAACATACATAAATCAAGAAACAAAGCCATTTTATTCCAATATTTCACGTATCGATGCATTATACAAAGCTTAATATTATATATGATCTTATAATTTTACTATATCAAATCAACTGATGACCGAGTGTCACCTCTCGAGTGCAAAGGGTTAACACTATTTCTACCGAAGGTAAGACCTATTGAAAATTCAACTTAAAATCATTTTGGCAGTTCAATTATTCTCCCTCAATTGAATCTTGGTCTATTCCTAGTTAATTTCATAATCACCATCGAAAAAGAGTCAATTCAGACTATCCCATAAACTTGGTAAATAATTTCAAATAAAAAATTCGAAAGGTGTTTCGACACCTTCGGTATACTGTTAAATCTCGATTCGAAAACTCGCTTGAACGTTTTCCAGCGCCTGGTATTATATCATACGCACAGATCACAGATTCCATAAAAATGCTCGAGTGCCCGCGTATTGTTGTGCGGCAGTGTACGTGCGTGCGTTTGCTAGGAAACGAACCGGTGGCAGCGGTGGTGGGATAACGATGCCCGATCAAAGAGGGGATCGTATACAGATCGCACTGCTATTTGCAACATTTCCCGGCGCGTTCAGTTACGCGCGCATTCATTTCAGAAGTCGCCTCGCGAACTTCCACCTCGAGGTCCCCTAAAAACGCCCCGAGTTCCTAGACACCGGAAGATCTCGTCTGCGCTTGGTAAACGGTAGAACCGAGATCTGCCCGATGACGTTGTGCACGTGCGGGAAGCGAGCTCCAGGTGAGGAGGACCACGTGTGCCAGGCGAATCCTCCTGCGGAGAACGATAAGTCCGAGGGGACCGACAAGTTCGACAACGCGGTTCGGTATGGTTCATTCATTTCGAATTATCGTTACCGTCGTGACGTTGGCAGCAGGTTTCTCTTTGTTTCTTTTGTCAATGTTCGAACAACTCGCGAGAGAAGTTAGGTGACAAGAGGCTCCGACTGACAAGTGACTAACCTACGAAGTGTTGGGTAACTCGAATTTTGACTGAAACGTTCTCATCGTGTACTTTGTAAAATGATTTATAGATAAATCTGTTAACCCTTCCGTCCCTGAATGCGTGTTCTGCTAAGGAAAACTTACGGCTGCGCGTTGATCAACCGAAACACATGTACTGACAGGTGATTAGCACTTAACACTAGAACTACTAGAGGCACAAGTGAAAATGACTGGTTTCGGTGTTCGTCGCAATTCTTATCTTAAAAGCATTGAATATTCGAAGTAATGTTGAAAATAGTTTCATTTGAATACTATGATCGATGTATGAGGAAACTGAAAATAATCTTTCATAATTTTGGTAGTTTTAGTGTTAAGCTGTCGGCCGTGTGCAAAGACTCCTGTACAATCGCTCTTTGTCTAGGCGTTTTCTAGTTTTACAGTTATTTGAAATGTTCGTGGTGCCTGTGTGTTCCATTTGGAACGAAAGGGTTAACACAGAGTAAGTTCTGTGCAGATGTTACACGCGATGGGACTTTCTGTTTGCTGTTCTGAAATACCGACACCGTCAAAAATGCCCTGCTGCGCTGCCGGGCTCTGTTTAAATAGAACGGATAGCTGCTGAACTGTAAGAGTCGGCGTGAAAACTGTTTATCTCGGGAAGTTAACGTCTGCAGCGTTGTTGATTTGCAAAAATACGAGTTGTTGCTTGCGGGAGGTTTTTGTTGAGGCTGGCAACGAAAGCGTTCAAGCGAATCGTTGAGAATTCGAATGATAGACAACGGATGCAAACGAAATAGGAATTGTCAATTGTTTCATGAAATAATTACGTGTGTATTTGTTGGCGCATTCGAAAGTACATATAATTTGATTTTATATTAGCATAGTACGTAAATGTTCAGTCAACAAAATAAGAATCGGTAAACATGAATGAAGCAATCTTTTGTTTACCATTCGTTTACCTGTATAGGACTTTTATTATAGCTGTCTAATGCGCGAGACGTAGAAATATACGCGTGTAGAAATTGGAGGCTTCCGTTTTGCTTGCATGTAATCGGAGGAACAGGAAAAGAAAATATGGATATATTTTAAATAAATATAGTATATAGAGTTCTATTTCGCTGGAAATTATTACAGTGTTTTATTTGAGCGTGACTTCTGGTCTGAACATTGTCATAGTTTCAACGAAGTAATCCGTAAATATGAAAATTGGAATGTTTCAGTGGAATGGAAAATTGTATGCATAAATACGAACTCAAAGGTTAGATACTACCCACCAGATTTTTACGTTGGAAAGTAGATACTGAAGTTAGTTTCTTTTCACTTTGAATTAGATATCATTTTCCTCTTATTACTATATTTAATGATTGAACGAACCATTTACTTAATTCAATACTACAAACAATATTTAATAATTAAATGAACCATTTGATTCAATACTACGAACACAGAATGTTTAGTTCCTCTAGTTAATTATCAAATAATTTCGATAAACAACTACAAACAAAATCAAAGATTTATACCGACGCCATTGTCAGAAATCTTAAAACAACTCGTGAGTTTCGATTTTTCACTGAATTTTACTATACACAAACATCAAGATATATCAGAATTCATATTTATCGTATTTTATATTCTCGATATCAGAGATTACGGAGATATAACATAGATCATAATAATGTCATTTGCATGAATGATGTTGAACTGCATTCTTTTATTACGTCTCCAGTTTTCTGACATCAATTGCTAATCGCGAGTGAACGTTAATAGATAATTCGATAAATAATTCACTCGTTAACGTTGATTTGCTTCAACCACTGACGTTTTTGTTCCAAATTTGCCAACGACATATTGTACACGTCGATAGCCTTATTGGATTACATATTCCAGGTTGTTTTAAAATCTACCATGTTGTACAAAATTACTAATACACAAAATTAGTGTACACATCTGTATATAATAGGTGAAGACAAAATTCTTCGTGCGAGATCCTGCCGAGTTTCTGAATTCGTTGCCACCGAAAGTGGTTAATGTCGCAAATTGGACGTGTACCACCGGTGGTACGTGCCGGCGTGAACGTGTTATACGGTGCGACAGCGCCAGCGGGAACCGGGAATTAAATCGGCGCTGAAGTTAGGACGCGATGTGCGCCGTGAGTTTCGATTTTCACCGATGAAACGGAGGATTAGTGCGTTGCGATTCGCCAGCAATTTGCAAGTTTGGGTTGCAAATAATATTCCGTTGAGTCATTCAACATCACGTAGCAGGAACATGCTTATCGTTCTTCGTCAGCTTCGAAAGTGATACAAACGTGATACTTCCGCTCGGTTAAGTTTCATTAAAATCGGTACTATTCAATTTGTAACAGTTGCAATCTTTAATCTTATCTCGTAAGAGAACGTGTTGCATCCGTGCACATTGATTTTGATAAAACTGCCACCGGAAATAGCTCTCGAAACAATATTTCACGTGTATTTTCCGTTATCGGAGACCACATCGAACAGGTGAAAATGTATTTTGTTGTTTGGACAATTTTTCAATTACGTTGTGTGTTTTTGCGGAGAATATAGTCACGTAGGAAAAATTGCATAGGACGCACTTATTTATAATACACAGTATTTAATTAACACGTCGAATGCCGCACGATTCCATAGAGTAAAATACAAGGAATGGAAAAAATATAATATTAAATTATTTGATTGAATTGCAATATTATTATTGCATATTCGTCAAGCTGAATGTCACCGCACTAGATAGTAGTATTTATAATATAGAAATGTTTAGAAATGATCATCGTTTAATTGAATGAACTGTAGTCATTCGATCTGTTTAAGGGTCATCGGTGATCCCCACGGCATTCAACGTGTTAACATTGTATATACATTATTATAATATTACAATTAAGAGGAGACGAATTTTTAACCTTCAGTTTTAGGGATATTATTATCAATATGGAGGATGATCGATGTAGAAATATATGTTAAACATTGTTTCAAAAGTTTTGAAGTGTCACAAAGGTTAAAAGCTGGTAGAAAAGAATAAATGTAATGATTGTAAAAGAAAATCACGCCATAACGAACATTTTAGTGATTCAGTTTTAGTAATTTTTTTCTTTTAACTTTTATTACTTACGTGAAGTAACAAAGCATTTATTGGCGAACTTATATTTTTTTCGTCTTCGCAGTTTGATTGTTTGTGCTCGGGACACTCTGTATAACGTAATAATAAAATGATTATATGATAGTTTTAAGGAAAAATATTACTAATTTTAAGTAGTCGGATATCTGTACGAAACATTCGCAAATATTTTGAAACATTGCGAAAAGTCACGCGTTAAATCGTGTGTAAAAGAAGCGCACGTGCGTGTAAGGAAGTTACAAAAAACCTTCAAGGATAATCGGTTTACAGCGTAAGCTGATACTATATAGCTTTACGCGTGAACAACCACCGTTGCATGACGAGGTATTGGGGATTATAAAACCAATTTGTAAGAAGCTGACATTTGATGAACTGTTCGGACGAAATTTTAATATGATTACCTGCATTTAGTTAATTAGAAGATTTTCTGTGATGAAAATGAAATAAAAGCGAAGTCAGTAGGTGTATACATTTTCTTTTATCTTTTCTATTAATATTATTTCTTCTATTATTATTATTTTCATTTTTCCTATTATCAGTATTTTTTATTACTTTTATTTTTCTATTATTTTTATTATTATTTCTATTATCAGTATTTTTTATTATTTATATTCTTCTATTATTTTTTTCTATCATCAGTTTTTTTGCTGTTTTTTTCTATTATTATTATTTTTTTATTTTTATTATTTCATTATTAATTTAACCATAAAAAGTAAATAATAGTACCATATTCAGTGTCACGTATTTTATTAATAGATTTTCATTAGTGACTATCACGAAGTGAATACATGAAGTGTAAACCAAGAATTTTCCAGCTTGAAACGTGCAACAAGAGTAACAACAACAAGTAAATTTATTTTATATAAAAGTTATTTTACTTGACACTTTCGTAATTGAATCGAAACTGCTTCGAAACCGTAATTTAAAATATTTACACACACGCACCCCGAGAACTTTAAGTCACGCGACTTTAAGTCAGCTTTGTCTAGTTGTCGCGTGGATTGCGTCCAGCAAGATACCGCGAATTGCAAAATGACTGTTATTGATGCATCATATATCCAAAGTTACGATAACGCGTTTGCCAATGCTAATGAAGCGTGCATTGATAATGTAATGATAATGTAATGATTCGAAGCCGTCATCGTTTCATCTATTTATACCTCGCCTTGTGGAACCTACTAGACAAAGGAATCTGATTGATTTAGCGTTATTTACATAGTACGCAATTTACGTCGCATTTATTTCCATTGGTATTCCTATTTCACTTGTTTAATCATCTTACTCGATTTACTGTACCCAATATCTTACATAATTTCTACTTCACTTGGTGAATTATACATTAGTTCAATCAACTCATCACCATAGGGGTTTGTAATTTTTCCGGGAGAAAATAATATCACGATTTTCACGTTGCAAGGGGTGCTTAAGATGGCATCCGCTTACGTTGAGACAAGAGTGTATCGAACTATTGTAGTTCCTTATGGCAGAAATCATTATATTATATTTAATATTAAATAATTGATATTTGTAGTGTATGCCCCTGCAACTTATTTAATCATCTCTTCGTCTATTAGGACTCAAACAATCTCTTCGTTTAAACACTTATATAAACATCTTTGTTTCATTAGGAATAAAAAGATTATAGTATGCTTTCTACAAAAAAATAGAAATGATCTAAAATGGTTGATATTTTTACGTTCAATAAGGTTAATATCAAATGACTGTATTATAAGTACCTGCGACTTATTTAAACATCTAAACATCTCTTCGTTTCATTGGGAACAAAAAAATGATAA